GATCACAGAGTGCTTGGTTTGGAGATAGGAAGAACATTGCCCTGGTTAAAGGGCAAAGCAGAAAGTTTCAGAATTCACCTCTGAGATGAAGGAGTACAGACAAGCACAAACAGCAGCAAGGCTTGGCAAAGGATGGACAAAACCTGTTTCTTCAGTAAATGACTGCAGTGAGGACTAAACTCAATCAGTGCTCTGGAGGTGGGATGAGGGAAGGATCCTGGAGAAACCAAGGACAGTGCCTTTGCCTACATCTTGTCTGCTAGGGATGTCACCCCTAACTCCCCCCACATACAATGGGATGTGGTATAAGTGGGTTTGAAGATTTGACTGGGGGGTGGAAGCTTAATGAAGGGTATCCCTGCCCATGGATTCAAAACTAGATGATCTTTAAGGTCCCTTCCAACCCAAACCATTCTGTGATTCTAAGACATTCCTGTCCCTGCAGTATTCAGACAGCAGCAGAAAAAGAAAGGAAACATCCTTTGCTCCACCCCTGCACAAGCACAGTGCCCACTGCAGTGATCCTCTCCAGTTCAGCTCAGGGATCACAGCACAAGGTTAACTTCCCAAACCCAAACTCAGGTCCTCCAGCAGGCACAAAGCATCACCACCAGCCCCTCCAGCCAAGGCCAACCCATCCTTCCTTTCCAGCTCAAACCTCGGTGCCACTGCCCATAACCAGCACTTTCTCTTTCCCGTGGGGAGCAGAGTTCCCATTCCTGGGCAGCGATCCCGGGGGCAGTGCCAGGCTGAGCCACCTCCCAGCGCATGACAGGGAGCAGCATCGCCGTGGGAGGGAGGGAGGAAGGGAAGGAGGAAACAGGCTGTGAAAAAAATAAAACCACTGCAGAGCTGCCTGCGAGAGGAGCGAGAGCGAGAGCCAGGCTGGCTGGGAAGGACAGCTGTGCTGAGCCCACGAGAAAATGGTTTGAGTAATTATCAACGGTAAGAAAACCTCTGGTTTGAGCCGAAAGAGCTTAGAGGGATCGTAGGGTAAATAGAGGGATGCAGGGTAAATACTCTGCTTTTTACGGCCTTGGTTCGTGGGGGGAGAGAAAGGCTGGTGCTGGAGGGGTTTGAAACACAGCCAGGACACCAGACACACTCACAAACCTGTTAAAAATCCAGTCCCCTTCATTCCCTCTGCTACTAATGGCCATAACCTGCCGTGGGTCCTGCAAGCCCCGAGCCCATGCCCAGTGTGTGTGAGTCCCTCCAGCTCACCAAGAGGTGCACTCAGGGCTCTCCGGGGAGGGGGTTTTGGGGTCGTGGGTGTTTCACACTGCTGCAGAGAGCAGAGAGGTGTCCCCTCTCCCCCCAGCCTGCCGCTATGTGGCCAGGAAGATGCTGAGCCTGTGCGCTCGGGAGCACCAGGAGCCTCTGCCCTGCCCGGCGCAGGCAGCACCCCGCGGCCACCAAAGTAAGTCTGGGCTCGGTGGGGACAGGGATAACATGTCTCAGCCCCCACCACCATGGGATGGAGGAGCCAGGGCTTGCCTGGGCTCACAGCGCTGGGTGGGAGCACCT